TGCGGCGTGGGGCACTGTGGGGGCAGCTGTGGGTCACAGATTGCCGGCAGCCAGGCTGAGGACAGGGCAGGACACCACGGGGGCAGGTGTGGGGCAGCCGTGGGTCTAGGCCAGGCCTTGGTGCTATGGGGTGGGCCGGAAGCTGCGTGGAGTCTCTCCTCCCTCGTGCCAAGTGAAGAGCAGGAAAAGGTTGGCAGAATAGTGGGAGTTTTCATATTTTTTTTCTAATTACCCAACTTAGTAAAATTTAATTTCAAAATAAAACGGGCTCAGGTTGCACAAAATACTCTTGTAAACACTCTGGTGACCCAAGGGTAGGGAGTAGGCACCAGGGCTTCTCCAGGCAACTACCTTCTTGGGTCATTTGTGGCTTTGTAGCTTTTTTGAGGCAGGTCATGGTGACATGGCCTCCCAAAATCAGCAGGGGCTCCTGGAGGACCTTCTTTGCTGAAGTTTTCAGCCATCTGGGCAGGTTCAGTCTCCTGGTAGCCGTGGGAAGCACAGTGTGGTCCAAAATGTGTAGAAGTGTTCGACAGGGTTGTTCTGCTGAACAGTTTTGGGGGGAACTGGAAATCTCTTGGTTTTGGCCTCCTGGTGAAATAAACTGTGGGGAAGAAGCAAGTTCCCCTCAGGGAGTGTGATAGGTAAGGCCACCAACGTGGAGATGTTGGGGAGGGCTCAGCGTGCTCCTGAACTGTGAGCTCCAGGCAGGAGAGGAGAATTTGTCCACAGCCTTCGGGACTGTTAACATGTCAATGTATTAATACTCAGCACTGGGGAAGCCACAGCTTGAGTGCTGGGGCCAGTTTTGGGCACCGCAGTACAACAAAGACATTGAAGTGCTTGAGTGGGTCCAGAGAAGGGCAACGAAGCTGGTGAAGGGTCTGGGGAACATGGCTTGTGAGGAGCTGCTGAGGGACCTGGGGGTGTTTAGTCTGGAGAAGAGGAGGCTGAGGGGAGACTTGGCTCTTGACAGCTCCTTGAAAGGAGGTTGGAGTGAGATGGGGGTTGGTCTCTTCTCACAAGCAACCAGTGATATGACGAGAGGAAATGGGCTTAAGTTGCACCAAGGGAAGTTTAGGTTGGATATTAGGAAGAATTTCTTTCCTGCCAGAGTGGTGAGGTGTTGTACCAGGCTGCCCAGGGAGGTGCTGGAGTCACCATCCCTGGAGTTGTTCAGAAACATGGATTTTTTGAACATGGGGCCATTGTTTAGTGGTCATGGTAGTGTTGGACTTGATGATCTTGGAGGTCTTTTCCAACCGTAATGGCTCTATGAGTCTAACAGCCAACAGACCCTTCACTCCTTTCTCTTGCAGGACACGTGCCCTGTGGCCTCATCTGCCACCCTGATAAGGAGCACGTGCTCTATCCCCTGGGTTGTACCGTGGTCATTCAGGAGCTGGACAGTAAGAAGCAGGCTTTCTTGCATGGCCACACCAACAATGTCTCCTGTGTTGTCCTGTCCAGGGACGGGGTGTTCGTGGCTTCGGGAGAAGTCACTTCCATGAGCTTCAAGGTGGGTGATGCTCCACTTTTGACTGCGTAATGCTGACCATGGAAACTGGAGCTCTGGAAACACCTTTTGTTTTTGTTTTTGTTTTTTTTTTTCTTTTGTTGGGAAACAAATGCCTGCAGTGGGAGGGTGTTGCGGAGAATGGGAATTGTGGCAAGTCCACTGCTCGATGTTCCTTGATGGTTTTGGAAAGTATTAAGCCTTCCTCCAAGGACTGGAATAACTAGGTGGAGAGTTCTCTTAATTCCAGTCCTTTTTATCCAAAATGTTGTGTGCCTGTGGCAGCCTAAATCTCATTAGACATTAATAAGTGCATGGTGTTGTATTTAAAGTGGTACACGAGTTCCAGACCTGCTTAGGGCTTTCAAAAACTCTTGACAGCTACCTACGTGGATTTTTCAGCCTGAAAAGTTCTTTATTGCTTAATTTTTCCTTGTTTGAAAAGACCCTGAGACACCTGGAAGGAACTAAGTGTTAGTGCTTCCAGTATTTTAAAATCTGAGTCAAATACCATTGTCTTGGGATAAATGTGATTCTGAAATGAAGCTTCTCAACCAGTAAGGTGGCACAGAGCTTCCTACAGCACCCAGTGGGAAGTGTTTCTGTACCAGTGGAGCCCTGGGCCGGTTAGCAGCTGAGCCTGGGCTGGGCTGCTCCCCAGAGCTTGGTGGCTCTGAGGTTGGCTCTGGTGCTCCGGCTCTGACCCCTCCCGCTCTGTGCCTCAGGCAGACATCATCCTGTGGGATTTCCAGGGGAAGGAGCTGCTTACTCGGCTGTCCCTTCACAAGGGTCGGGTCGCAGGACTCGCGTTTTCTCCCCACAACCTGTACCTCGTGTCGCTGGGAGGCCAGGATGATGGCAGGTAACGAGTTCTGCTTCTCAGCACCCGATTCCCGGCACGCTGTGGGGCGTCGGGGAGCGCTCCTGGGGAGCACTCACTCCTCCTGCTGCCCAGCTCTGTCCCCTGCTGACATCCCTCCTCCTCGGTGATCCAGCTCTGTCCCGTGGGAAGCCAGGCAGGTGCCATGGGCCGAGCGGGGGCTTTGGGAACGATGAAGGGAGCAGCTGGTCCTTAAGCTGGAGCCATCACCTGGAAACCTTGTGGAGCCTGTACAGTTCGCTGGCTTACCACACTGCCCTGGGGAAGTTAAATTTCACTGAGGGCATTGACATACAGATGAGTAAGAGTGGCATCAAAAGTAATTTTAAATCAGATTTTACGACTGGCTTAAGAAATGGTTTGAGTCTTGCTCAGCAGAAGGCACCTGACAAACACACTTAGCCCCACTGTGGGAGCAGGGTGTGTAAACGGCAATTCCCTGCCTCTGGGATAATGCTTTCCCCGGATGAAATATCCACAGAGTGACTGCTCTTGTGCATCCCGGTGGGAACAGACTGCGGGGAAAATAGCTTTTTACTGCTTTGTGAGTCGTTCATGTTCAGGCAGTGCCACAGAGCCGCTCACGGCCTGTCCTTCTCCCGCAGCGTGGCGGTGTGGGACGTGGCCCAGCGCCAGGCTGTCTGCGGGAGCCCGGCCTCGCCACGCAGCGCCGGCTACACCGCCCTGCTGGCCTGCTCCGCCCACAGGGACGAGCTCTTTGTCACCGCCGGCAGGTAAGGGCCCTGCTTCCTTCTAAAGGGTCTTTGCTTAAACCGAAGCTCGGGAGGGACTCGGGGACATCCAGCAGCTTGGCTTTTGAAGGCGCTTCTCCGTGTTGTGCGTGTAACAGTCCGTTCTCAAAGCAGCACACGGGGACTCACGTGCGTCACTCCTGTTCCTGATAGCAGGCTTTTCTCCTCAGCTTTCCCACACAGTGTTTAAAGCATTTAGTTGCCAGTGTTTTCACAAAAAAACAGTCAGTGAGTGGCTCTGAATGATGATTAATGTAGAAACAACGATATCTGGCAGGTCATTGGATCATCTCCTGCCCTTGCCTGATGTGATGTAAAATAGGTCAGTCACTGGCTTGTAACAAAAGTTGGTACAAAAATTGCCACATTTTGCATGGCTTTGAGGCAGCCTGATATTTCAATATGCTGAGGACCTGCTCCTCCCTTTCAGCCAGGGAAGGCTCTGGATGCTCTTGCCCCCAGCTGTACTTCCAAGTGCTGGGCTTTGTAGTTTTAAAACTTTAAAATGTAAGGGTAACTGTGTGTAAAGATTTTGTTTTGGCTCCTGTATTGTCAGTTAACTTGTTCTAGATAATAATGGCAAGGTGTCCCATACTGTTTGTTTCCTAGCCGAGGAACTGAGATTCCTACAGGGCTTGTCTCTGGGAATTGAATTGTCCTCCATCATCCTTGTATATGCTTTTGCTAAACTTTTTAAGATTTTTGATTTATCTGGAAAAAGTTACTTTAAAAGACAGTGGAAGAGACAGAGAGACTTACTTCTGGCCTTTCTAATATTGTTCTTTTCCTCCTTATTAAAATTTAAAAATAATGTGGCCTTGTAAAGGATTTTTTGTTCTTCTAGTAGTGAAAAAAATGGGACGTTTCTACATATATGGATTTGGTCCCACCATATTTGTTCTTACAGCGGGACCATCCGCATGTGGGAACTGGATCTGGCAAAAAGGAAAATCCACCCGACCGAATGCCAGACAGGGAAACTGAAGAGAGTCTTCACCTGCATTAAGGTGAGTGGCAGACAAAATGATTTGGCCGAACTGGGAAACTACAGCCTAGAGAACGCCCGCAAAGTTTCATGGTAATGCCAGAAATGCCAATTCCAGCTGCGTGGTGGCAGTGGAGTTTGGAAGCGTCAGCTCGTGGCAGATGATCTCGCACAGTTTCTTTATCCTGGGAAAGAATGTTATGAATGCTTCTGAGAAGCCGCATGTATTTTAGTCACAGGCTCTAGCACACAGAGAATCAAAATATTGCCTGGATTTGGGTAGAAGATATCTTGCCTTCAGCAGTTATGGATCTTTGAGTGTGACGAGATGAAAACATTGGCTGCATCCCTCAGATGCGTCTCGCTCTCCAGACCACAATGTCTTTTTCTTTTTTGTGCTTTCCTGTAGATGACAGATGATGGTAATGATTTTTATGTTGGCACATCAAGTGGTGATGTTCTGAAACTGAATATGAACACCAAGCTGATGACTGGCTATGGGCCCCAGAAGGAGAATTTTGCCTTGGTGAGTAGCACAATGACTTGAATTTTTTCCTTACCCTTCTCTTTGTTGGTAACTGAAAGTAGAGCAGCCTCCAGCAGGACCGTTACACAGCTGACTCACAGACTAACCCTTTTTCTGTGCTGTCAGCTCTTTGTCAGTGTCTCAGTCTTGATCCTGAAGTCCGACACCATTAGCTTGGGTTTGTTCTGTTCACTTTGGCTCAGAATTTGGGTTTTACCTGCATCTTATGTGTCATCCCACAGATTCTCTTACACTAAATCTGGTATAAGTCATAAAAGTGAAAAATAGGCATAAAAATGGAGTAGTTCCTGAGCTGGGTTGTTTTTTTTTAGGAGGGCATTAGCTGGAGGGAGTCAGAGGACATCCCTAGGAAGACTGGTAGAAGTGCTTATTGGAAAGGCTTTCCCACACTCACCACTATAACATGCTATATCCAGAGCTTACACATTGATTAAATTGTCTGGGCTGAAATTTTCCAGGGCCACTGTTTGCCACAGGAAGAGTGTTTTGGAAAAACTTCAAAACACTGCCATTGCTCTGAAAAAAAATCCCAACCCTCTAGATTTTATGTTTGTTCCCCACACCGTTCCTCCCCCTTCCTTTTGGGAGGTTGTTTTACGGAGATTCCAATTCTGCCACTGACAAGGCAGAAGTCTTAGGGAAAATAATACTAAAAGTAATACTATTAAAGAGTTTATTGTAACACATACGTGCAATTGGAACAAAACAAGATTGCACAGGGTACATTGAATCTATTGCTTTTTAGCTTTTGAGTGCTTGACTTCATAACCCCAAAGGTGATTTAACTGCACTTCTTTTGTCTATAATTGGGACTCATGAGTCTTGGTGTGAGGATCCTCTCCCAAATAAGGAGTTTTTGGGCTTTCATTGTACCAGAATTCTGCACGCAGGGAGCTGTGATGATAAACGATCAGCACAGCTAGCACACTGGCTCTGGGTTTCTCTTTTATTTGTCGCTGTAAAAGATTTCTTGTAGCTTCTCAGGTTATACCCCGTGGAACACAGGATACCTGAGGAATTCAAACAGTTCCCTGAAAAACTTCCTTGCATAAGGTTGAATGTGTTCCCTGATTCTGTTAGCCATGAAAATCAGTGAGCAACAAGGGAAGCGATGCTGATGGAAGTGCCAAACGTACTGAGGGATGCCATGGGGCAGCTGTCCTACAAAGAAGCAGGTCTGGTTTGAGAGCAAACACAAGGCTAACAACAGCTCTAGGAAAAATTCAGCATTAAATCCCCAAGAAAAAGCTACTCTGGGCTTGTTTCTCCAAACCTTCTGAAATGTGCTTATACCAACAAACCACACTCCTGCCTATTCAGAATGTTTCAGAATCCCAGCATGGTGGGGGTTGAAAGGGACCTCTGGAGATCATCTTGTCCAACTCCCCTGCTCCAGCAGCGTTACCCAGAGCGGGGTGCCAGGGGAAGTTTAGGTTGGGCCTGAGGAACAATTTCTTTCCCCAAAGGATTTTCCAGGCCTGTCTCAGGCTGCCCAGGGCAGTGGTGGAGTCCCCATCCCTGGAGGGTTTTCCAAGCTGTGGAAATGTGGTGCTGAGGGATGTGGGTTAGTGGGGACCTGGCAATGCTGGGTGAACGACTGGACTCCATGATTTTAAAGGTCTCTTCCAACCAGAAGGATTCTATGATTCTAAAGCCAGACCACAGTCTAGTAAATACTGTGAGGGATTTTATCATAAGGTGAATCCATAGGAACCACAGTTTGTGGCAGAGACCTCTGGAGCAGCATGAGGTGCAGCTGACATAGGAGTCTTCTGCAGCTTCTGGGAGTGAAAAGCTGAACAAACCCAGGACCGCTGACTGTGCAGGAGACTGACAAGATGCTAGGGAGAAGAGCAGGTCCAGAAGTGGATCTTGTCAGAGCTGCGTGCTGGCTGTGAGGATGAGACCAGAGCTGGCAGGCATTAATCTGACCTAAACTTTGGTTCATTTGTGTTGTTGTAAAGTGTGGAAGCTACTCAAGATTGTCACTGGTTATTATGGGAGGAGGGAGAGAAAGGAGACATTCATACTGGAGGGAAATAAGCAGTCCCTCCAGTCTCCTCCTTTACCCTGTTGCTTGAAAGAGACACTTCTGTTCAAAGACAGGCTCTTCAGTCAGACACGGGCTCAACCCTCACCCCTCCTCTTCTTTCTTCCTTCCTCCTGCTCTCTTCTCTCGCTCTTACCTGTGCAGGTTCCCAGTGCCCAAAACGGGAAGTTCCTCATGGGAAACCTGTGTTGCTGCAGTCAGAAGGTACTGGGATATTTTTGTCTCCAGCTGCTCTGAGATCCACCTTCATACTTTTCATTTCTCCCTTCCTAGCTCCATGCAGTAGTTCTCTTGCCACCCACCCATTGCACATCTCCACAGACAAATAATACCTTGTCACTGGACTGTCAACACGCCTTCTCTGAACACACGTAGGACCCAGTGTTTTCTTGCAGAAATTTCCAGTTTTAGCATGGCCTTCAGTGCCAGGAGAAGTGTTTTGCAGGTGTTTTTTCAAGTCAAAACCACAGCATTTATCAAAACAAAAATATTTGTGTTCGTGTTTCTATGCAGTGTAATAAATCACATCGCTAACCCCGGGAGAAGCTGCTGATTTTTGTTGTTCCCCCCTGCAGAGCTGTGTGTGTTTCACAAGACACCTTTTACCTCCTTCTTGAAAATGTGCCGTGTCTCAGGACTTGGAACCAAAGTTCTCACCTCTCTCACCGGGCGAGGCACAGCTTGCTTCCACAGCCAGCCAGGCTGTTTCAAGGCAGGGATGAAGCTCTGAAGCATGGCTTCTGGGACATGCCCTTCCTCTCCTGCCTGGGCATTTCCCCACTCCCCAGCAGGGATGTTGGCCCTGCAGCCTCCAGAGTTGGAACCGGCCCAGCCTCCCTCCCCATGGGATCGTTTGCATCACTTTGTTGCATTGCTGTCTGAAAAGATCTGTGTTCTTGAACAAATGTTATCCTGTGGCTCTGAAAACCTTGTTCAGTAGGGAATGATGAGCCAGTGAGGTACCATGACTCACAGAATCCCAGCACGGTGGGGTTGGAAGGGACCTCTGGAGATCATCTCATCCAACTCCCCTGCTCCAGCAGGTCACCCACAGCAGGGCGCCCTGGGTGGTGTCCAGGTGGGTTTGGAATCTCTCCAGAGAAGGAGACTCCACAGCCTCTCTGGGCAGCCTGCTCCAGCATCCTCACAGCCAAGAGGTTTCTCCTTCCTGTTCAGATGGAACCTCCTGGGTTCCAGTTTGTTCCTGTTGCCCCTTGTCCTGTTGCTGGTCACCACTGACAAGAGTCTGGCCCCAGCCTCTTACCCCCCAGGGGCCCTTTAGCTCTTGCTCAGCATTAATGAGATCCCCTCTGAGTCTTCTCTTCTCCAGGCTTATCAGCCCCAGGGCTCTCAGCCCTTCCTGGAACCCGCAGCCACCCCACCACGAGCAGAGCTTTAAATAAAGAATTTAGATGCTGCTTGGGTGGGGAGATATTTATTGAAAATAATTTTAGTGAATCCTAAAGGACCTTTGCCTTCAGATATATAAGAATGTCTTTATTATGTAGACAGGATCTGAAGATTTCTTTGTTTCTGTTTTGAAGAGGAGTGGCAGAATAGTTCACTGGTATGATAAGGCAACTTGTTTTCCATCTACATGGAATTAAGTTTCAGTGGATTTCTATGATGTCTGTAAATACTGGTATAAACAACAAAATTTATTTTTATCCCCATCACAGTCCTGAGGAGCTGTAAGCTACCTGTTCAGGTGCACAGTGGGATGTAAACTGCAAATGCATTTTCAGCAATAGTGATTTCCAATGTGAAAAAATAAAATATTTCAAGGAGGTGCACTGGAAATTGCTCACAGGGTGCTGAAGACCTTGGCAAGAGATGAGAATGGGACAGAGAGCAAGTGTCCCTGCGGGGAAGGGAATGGGCAGGCTGGGTTTGCACTCCTGATTTTTATTTATAATCATACTTCAAAGCAGTGGTTTCTTTTCATAAGTAATAAATAAAGAATGGTGATATTTTTAACCTCCTACATTACGCCCTGCATTTCATCTACAAGAGGTCTGGTAGGATCTGAAACAGAGTCTTCATTGCAGGTTCATTAAGGTGAACTTCTTGAGCCCGTGATTAACAAGTGCAACTTAGAAAGCTCTTTACTTGTGGTGAGTCAAAGAGCAGACTGGACAAGAAAGGAGCACAATTATCAAGTTAAGGTTGAAATCAAACTGATGATTGGAGAGCCTGGCAATGAATCCTGGCCACTTTAAGGTGGCTTTTTTTTCTGTCTTAATAATACCCACATCCCTCTCAAATTGAAGAACTGAAGAGAATACCATGGAAAAATCAAAGCAGTCTTGGCAGTGCTGCAAAAATTCTAATTTGCTAGCAAGCAGCAGGGAGCTGTAATCAGATAAACTACATAGTCAGAGGTTTGATTTCTAATGCCGCCGCCTGCCCTAATGCTAAACCCAAAGGGCGTGTGAGGTGGAAGCCTTCTACAAGAAAAACTGCAAAACAGTAGATCAAAAGACAGCTGATGGGCCTGTGATAACACAGGACTCGCCAGATGCTGCCAACACCTCATACAAAATTTTTTAAACCATTGTTCAGAAACAGTTCTGCTTGTGGATCATGTTTCTAATTAAAAAGAATCCCTTTGTTCTCATGCTTTTGCTAAGAATGTTTGCCTGAAACCTGGCCTCCTGCCCACTGGTGTTGTGATAGCATGGCAGAAAATCCTCTCTGGAGGTTGTGTGCTTCACAGGGATCAGGCCTGATATTGCAGGAGACTGGATGTGCTGCTGGCGGAGACGGACTAAGGAAGAAATCCTGTGCAATTAAATTACACTTCAGGATTTGTTTTTTCTGTTTTTTTTCCCCTGCAATCCACATTTACTGGACTGTGAAGTTAAATAGTCCTTCCACTGATGCGTGGGTGGGTGTGAGGCTGATCGGAATGCCAGCGCTGGAATGCCCAGTTACAGATATGGTGGTTTATTTTTTTTCTTCAAAAAGTATAAGCAAGACTTTAAAACCAATTTGGTGGGATAATTGAACCAAAGTAATGTTTCCAATTTCATCAGACCTTCTCTGTGGCTTTTGCAACATCCTTTCCAGGTCTAAATAGCTCAAATGTCCATTTTCTTTCCTCTTCTTTCTTCACTTTCTCTCTCGCCTTCCTTAGGGCTTCGGCCCTTTCCACACAGGAGATCAACACTTTCTGGCTTTCATTATTTTGAACACTCTGCAAGTGTTTAATCCTAAAATTTTACTGGGGTTAGTCCAAATTAATGCTTGAAAAGACCAGGAATGTTGGGTGGTGCTGCTCCAATGACAAACTTTATCGTGAAGTGCTGACACTTGCATTTGTTCAAAAATCACAAGCCAGACACAGGACAGTGATTTCTTCCTAAAGAATAAACATGGAATTATTCCCATTTGCCTGTTGGTGATTATTTTCTGAGAATTCACTTCTTCAGGCTTTCACAACACCAAATGCTAGAGGAGTTTTCTTTTCCCAGTAAAAAACTCCACCGAACAGAAACTGTTGTTTTCACATAACGACTCTGTGAGCTCGGGCTGAAAGGCAAAAAAAATGGTAATATTGTAAAACTGCTGGTGCTATCACAACAGTTGGCAGTGCTGCTTATTAACCTGGGTAGTGGGAAATGTTGCTGGAGTCTATTGCAACTTAAAATGTCAAACTCAACAGACTGTCACAAGTCACGGGGAGCCTGGAGCTGCCACCAGCTGGCCCGTGCCTCTCGTACGCGCTTGCTTCGTGACAGAGCTTCGCTTTCAGGCCAAGTTCTGATGGTATAAAGCTCCTCTATTTCCTTGGGTTTTTTTCTTTCCGTTTCACTCATGTTCTTCTTAGCTCCTAGGGATAGTTTTCGTGAGTAAGAATAGCAGGATGTAACCCCACAGAAGTAGTTTCACCCGTCTTGCAGCTTATTTTGGGGTCTCTCATGTTTTCAAGAAGTTAATCTGTTGTCTTGCTTATAGAAGAGTAATACTACTTCACAGGTAAGAGACCTGAAGCAGAGACTGACTTTTCTTACACTTCAAATTTTTGTGGCATGGCTTAGGACTGGTTTTGTTTGTCTGCTGATTTTCTTTGGGTTTTTTTTTTAGTGTACTATGGTACTTTATCCACAGAAACCCCTCTCTTCTTTTTCTAATGGCTGACGTTCTGTTGATCTACTCATCTTAGTAAACAGCAGAAACCCGTGTTGATGGTGGGCTGACTCATTTTCAAAGATTTTCTGTGACAAACGTGTTTTGTTACTAATAGGTGGGAGATGGGATTGCATCTTTCAGACAGGAAGAGAGGCCTGGGACACAGAAGATCCATCCTAAAAGCTGTAGGAAAGGACGCTTAGCCTGAGTTTTATCCCCATGTTTTCCTGTCTGACAGATGAAGAACCAGTGGAAGGAAAAGTGGAAGCACTAATACAAAATGTGTATATTGTTTGCTGGAAGGAGGTAGGAATTTGTAGGCTCCTATGTGGCTCCAGCTGCTCTGAAGAATCCATGATGATGCTTTTTACTTGCTCCTCATACTGTAGTAGTTCATAAATACCTGTAATTAATAACTCTCTTCTTCCTTCTTCCTCTAGAGAGTCACTCTTTAGCCTACATCAGTCAAAGAATACTGATAAAGCCACATTTGAGTGACACAAGCACAGCCACTGGGAGTGTGGAGGAGTCTCCGTTGTGCTACTCAGCGTGGCTGCAGCAGTAAAGAGTCTCTGCTTCCATCCAATTGTGTTTTAATCCTGTTTTCTCCTAGGGAGTCACAGCTTTGCTTCTGCTGAAGACAGGAGATTTAATAGTAGGCAGTGGAAAAGGGATTGTAGCTCTCTGTAAAGGCTCCAACTACAAAGTAATGAAGTGAGTTCATAGGTGGGAGAATGGGGAGGGTGGACGTGACACATCCCCCAAAGGGTCACAGTATGAGAGATGGTCATTTCTACAGGAAGGCATAATCCAAATAAATCTCAGTTTTTCAGTCCTGCAGACAAAATAAACAGCATGGTTCCAGCCTAATGGTGTCGAAGCAGACTGAAAATGACAGGACGTGTTAGCCCAGCCGTGAATTGCCCTACTCATCCTTCATCTTCAGTGACCAGTGCTCCCTTTCAGGCATCAGGAGTCAGATCCTAAATTGATGCCAAGTGAGATGGGGCTGCTGGAGTCAGTCAAATGCTGCTTCTTTATGTCAGCTGAGGAGGAGTAGTGTTTGCGTCTGAAAAGGGGATTGCTGGAGGACATGGCGTGGTAAAGGAGAGCTCTGCTGTTTTGCAGGCACGTGTCTGGAAGTGCTGCAGCACTTGCAAGGCTTTTTTTCTGTGTACAAAATAGAAAGCTGCAGGCGTCTTTTCCCCATAGGTGATCTGAATATTGGCCTTGCAGCTGTTTGTTTTGCATTGTTTGAGTAGCCAGCTTCAGCATGCAGATCTGGAAGCTTAGCTTTGTACCATCGAAACTATTCCCAGAAGATCTAACCTGTCTGGAAAGATTCTTGAATATCGGATATTTAAGAGCACTTGAGCACAAATATCAACAAAGATGCAGTCACCTTTGGCCCTGGTCCAGAACACTAAGTCTTAAAGCTCTGCCTGTGCAAGCCCCAGCAGAGAAAGAAGGGGTGGGACAGGCAAGATCATAGAATCATAGAATGGTTTGGGTTGGAAGGGACCTTAAAGATCATCCAGTTCCAACCCCCTGCCATGGGCAGGGACACCTCTCACTAGAGCAGGTTGCCTAAAGCCCTGTCCAGCCTGGTCTTGAACACCTCCATTGATGGAGCATCCACAGCTTCCCTGGGCAACCTGTGCCAGTGTCTCACCACCCTCACAGTGAAGAACTTCTTCCTAATTTCTAATCTAAATCCCCCCTCTTCCAGTTTGAAGCCATTACCCCTTCACCCTATCACTAGAAGCCCTTGTAAAAAGTCCCTCCCCAGCTTCCTTGTAGGCCCCCTTCAGATACTGGCAGCCACCAGGAGATCTCCCTGGAGCCTTCTCCTCTCTAGGCTGAACAAGCTCAACTCTCTCAGCCTGGCCTCATAGGAGAGGTATGATCATATAAAGTATTAACCTGTGACTGGGAATGAAATCTTAGTCCTGACCACATTCTTGCATGTTGATACCACACCCCAGTATGGAGCTTTTTGGGGAAGCAGGGAAGTCAAGACTAAAGTCAGGGGAGAAGGGAAGCAGAAAAATAAGTACCTTGAGGCCAAGGTCAGGCCAAAGCTCTGCTTTCTCTTAACAGGAGTATTCAAGTCCAAGGTGCTGTCACTTCCCTGACGCACAGAGGTCAGGGGCACCAGTTCTTTGTGGGGACAAACAATGTCCAGATTTATCGTGTGCTCCACGCTGACTTCAGAGGGGGGCTGGTTGCTGCCTGCCACAACGAAGCCGTCCACGACATCGTTTTTCCTGTGTGAGTATAACAGGCTGGGGTGCTCTTGGCTGGAGAAGCAGTTTGGGTAAGGTCGGGGATACCTGCGCAAACACCTTTCAACCCACAGGGACCTGAAGCCTGCTGACATCCTCACAGGATGATTTATACTGTTACCTACCAGGGAAATGCAAGATTGGAGGCAAGTGGCTACTTGAAAGCAGAAGGCAGCAGTTCAGTTTGAGAGTTAGACAGATCACTGATCTACAGAAAGAATTCTAAATAAAAAGCCTGGGGTTATTTCTGTTTGAGCAACAGCAGCGATCACAGCCTCCCCTTTTCACTAGGGTTGGTGCTGTGAGACTTGGGCCTCAGTCTGCCAGCAACGTGAGTCCTGAAAGTGTTTTTGTGAACCCTGGTGCAGCTAGAGCTTGTAGAGGCATCTGCTGAAACCTCACCAACAGCTGATCAAAGAGGCTTTTGGGGTTTCTTGACCTCATTTATGATTTCATGTTTGACAGCATGAAATATTGTGAAATATCAGGTGTATGAAGAAGAGCATGGCCAGCAGGTTGCAAGAGGTTCTCCTCCCCTCTACTCTGCCCTGGTGAGGTCACCTCTGTAGTATCGTGTCCACTGCTGGGCTCCCCAGTTCAAGAGGGACAGGGAACTACTGGAGAGAGTCCACTGGAAGCTGCAAAGCTGCTGAGGGGTCTGGAGCATCTCTGTGCTGTGGAAAATCTGAGAGCCCTGGGGCTGGTCAGCCTGGAGAAGAGAAGCCTCAGAGGGGATCTGATCAATGCTGAGCAAGAGCTAAAGGGCCCCTGGGGGGCAAGAGGCTGGAGCCAGACTCTTGTCAGTGGTGCCCAGTGACAGGACAAGGGGCAACGGGCACAAACTGGAACCCAGGAGGTTCCACCTGAACAGGAGGAAAAAAATTCTTGTGAAGATGCCTGAGCCTGGCCCAGGCTGCCCAGAGAGGTTGTGGAGTCTCCTTCTCTGGAGGAATTCCAAACCCACCTGCACACTATCCTGGGCACCCTACTGTGGGTGAACTGTTGGAGCAGGGGGGTTGGATCTCCAGAGGTCCCTTCCAACCCCTATATGCTGGAGTATGGTTTGTTATATTAAATTCTAGGCTTGTGACAAGAGTTGCTGGTTACACTAGTGTCTCTTCTGCTTTTGTCTCGTGAACAGAGGGAAAATGTTCCCTTTTCCTGTACTGTAGGATCATGACACTTTATTTGGAAGAAAACCCCTGACACTGAATCAGTTGTTTTCTCTCAAATAGAGAATGGGAGTTTGATCCCAATTAAGGGTTTTATTTTTGGCATGTTGTTCTTGCATTGCTTCTTGACATGGCACAAAGGATGAAATCTTACCAAGGTCCAATGAAGGGCACAATG